CTATAGATGCTTCAAATCCTGTAAGAAAAATGATTCACCAAGTAAGAGACTAAAGCACTTTTTTAAGAGACTAAGTTACATACAGACTGTGAGGCCGAGCACTGTTTCCTGCATGGTTTATCTCCTCAGTCACTGCCCAAAGGACTCTGAGAAGTTGTAGGAATATGCAGGCGCAGGCACGAGGCCCAGCTTCTTCTCCAACGTTGTGGAAAGGGATTATACATCACGGGGCAGAGCCCTATGCTCCCGTATGCCACCTGGACAGAGCCCGGGGAGAGTGACCTCCCGGGGTATCCACGTTGGGCAGTCATACGACTCACGAATGACTGCGCTGATAAACAATTCCACCTGAGGTACAGCGACTTCTTTGGGTAGATTATCGCCAGGGTCCAAAATGCAACCAAAAACCAGCTTAGAGATCGCGTCGTCATAACCGGCACTGAGCGGCTAGTAACGGCAAAAGCAGGGGTGGGATGCGTGTCCATCCATCCGAAAGTCAAGTATGGCCGGTTGCTACCTGTTCCCCAAACTACAATGCCTTAAATTTAATTACGAATGGAGGACCAAAGTCAAACGTGCGCAATGTAAAATCTCATCAGGCGGCAGGCGCCTGGCAGAAAGCAGTAAGGTCAAGTACACAACGGATAACGGGACACGGTGGCTGCGCCGCGCTTAGGAATCCGTGAGAAACGTGCAGCGGCGTACTCGGCACCCGAGCACACTTCGCGGCCACTCCGCCCTCCCCGCTTCATAGGTACGGAGGCTGCTCAAAGTATTTCGTTTAAATAGTATCTTTGGGATGGGCTGGCTACTATTATAACCTGACCAAGGCGCCGCCATCCTGTGCTGTATGCGCCATCTTAGTAAACCATGTCAGCGGCTATAAAATGCGTGCCTATCTCACAGAACTGCTGTTTGCGCAAGCCCTCACCCCACCCTTGAGTTCCAAAAAGGTCCATTGCTGTTCCTACACCCTTAAATTCCAAGAACCTCTCCAGACCCCTAACCGTATCTAGTCTCAGCAGCTGCC